AAACAAAAAAACAAAAACAAAACAAAACAAAACAAAACAAAACAAAACCAGCAACGCTTCTCCTTCCCATCCCAAAAGAAAACCCTCTACCTGCTTCTTTAGTTCAAGTCTCTGAGACATTTTTGGCTGGGTATAGAGCAGCAAGTAAACACAAATATTACTGCAGCTTCTGCAGCCACTAAAGTCTCCTTTTTCTGAGATCCCAAAGACTGGGATAATTACATTCTGCAAGAGGCAAAACAACTTATAGAAAAAAATGACACATTCTCTTATTAAAAATTAAACAGGACTTTCATAATCAGCTGCTTCAAATATGCGTGAATAATGACAGCTAGAAACCAGTCTCTGCAGATTGCTCATGAAGTGGGTGTGAAGCTGAAGTCAGGGTAAGAAAAAAAATCACAATGATAAAAGCGCGCTTTCTTGGAGCTTTTACAAGGTCATTTGGCCTAGGCCAGATAAAAGTGAATATTTCTCCAATACCCTGTAACAAGAGGGAGAAAACAGAATTAGAAATTATCTTTTGCAGCAAAAACAAAAATCAAAGTCAACTTCTCTAGGATTAAGTCCACTGGAAAATAAAGTCTCCCTTTTCTTCCGACAGGTTTTAGCTTTTAATTATGTAAAGCCTTCATGAAGGGATTTCTATCTTTTTGTAAATTTAATTCACAAAATGTCCTAATTATCTGCAGACATATTAATAACTCTTTGAACAATATATTAATGTAGCAAGCTGAAATGTGTTTTCAAAACAACAGTAAAACAAGGCTTAAAAAAGTACACCCATCCGTAATTCTTGTACAGTTCATATGCAAATATATTACTGGTATTGTAGATATTGTGAAAAACAACAAAGAATCCAATGCGTTGAACTCCTTCAGCTGCCCACAGTTTACAAAACCTAATAGCATTGTGGGCTGCAAAAGATGACCATTTCTTCCCCTGTCAGGAACTGCCTTTACCTACTCGTCATTTCTTTAGTGAATTTGAGTTAATTTTTAATAACAATTTTACTCCTCATAAAATTGAAAAGACGACTCATGGGAGGCCAACAATATTATTTAGATACTGTCTTCAGAATACAACCCTGCTGCAAAAATGCTAAAATAACTGTTGGAGCAGAAAATGAGGAAGAAAGTCGCAGAAGAATATCTGTGTTTGTGGGAGAAAGGTTGAAAGCAAGGGGCTTTTTTAAGTTTGATTTTTTTAAATTTCTCTTTATAAAATCCTAGCTCTCAAAAAACAAAGAGTTATGTCAAAGCCATCTTCTAAGGCAAGAATAATGTGTGTCAGTGCCTGAACTTGCTTCAAAAGTCTCCAAGCCTAGAAGTAAAGGCTCTGCACAAATCTTTATATTGGAACTGGGAATTAGGGTAGGGAACCCCTTTCAGAAAAGAATGTAGGTGCAGTGAGCCTTATGAAAAGGTCATTTGAAAACAGAGGGCCTGATTTCTCTGATTCAGTAGTGGTGTTTTACCGACAGCCTCCACTGATACGAATAGTCTCCCTTTTTGCTCATGGGAAATAGCAGGAAGAACGCAGCCCACGACAAAGTCATCCTCTTTCACTTAAGACCACTGAAAGTTTGCAGAGTCGCCTCCTGCATTTCCAGCCACATTCCTCAGCTTCCCAGGTTTATCCACTCACAGTCCACGATGCAGAGAATGTGGCTGTACTGAGGTTTTAGCCTAAATATCAAGGTACCCCCAGCAGATGCCCTCCATGCCATCAGCACTTCCTCTGACTTGAAATACATGTTCTGCAGTTCTTTATGAAAGAACGTGTTTCAGAATAGGTATGCGCCATTGCATGGCCCCAAACACAGAGTTGGAAAGCATTTAAGATCCCCTCTCGTATTACTTGAGAATTAAACCACATAAGCTTTCATAATGAAATGTCAAATATGAAGCTAAATTAACACCAGCATTGGTACTAAAAAGAACAAACAGATTCATTATTCTTACCTTTCTCCTCCTTTATTCCAAGTAGTTTGACTCCTGGATAAAAGAAAAAAAATGCATTAGTACAGTACAATGTACAATGTACAGTACAATCACATATTTATGCAAAGAATTATGGCTATACAGTTGTGCGGAACTTTCTTGATTACTTGGTGCTGCTTCCTGCCTTTGAAACTCTACTTAAAATAACAAGTAAACCCTTCTGCAAGATTCTAGTTCTAGCAATAAATATTTCTTCGATTTGAACTCAATATGAATAGCAGGATGTATCGACTCAGGAGATAAACGTATCTTGGATTTGCTGGAAAAAAATCAATCTAGAAGTGTTCCAAACATCTTCAGATACGTCAATCCTCTCTTGATCTCACACAATTTGAAAGAGTGAAAAGTTTCTTCCGTTCCTCCCCAGACTCCCACAATTCTTTTAGGATGAGATTTTCAAAGGAAAGAATGATTGCGCTCAAAGTCAAGCCAGGCAGAACACATCTGCATATGCTGTTTGACTGCCTTGTCAGAGATAAGTCATTAGACTCAGCTACAGCATGCCTGGACCTACTCATCTGAGGTCCCTACATCGATGCTGATACTTCTGCTGAGTAGTTTATTTATTTTCTGCCATCCTTCTGCCAGGAAAGACAAGCACATTACTCTCAATAAAAAAACCTAAACCAACCAGTTTTAGGAAAAAATTTAATAATCTTTCCAACTCAGATTGTACGTAGACTAACCAGGTTAAAGCTAAGTTAGCAAACCACATTCTTTGTTAAAACAAATGTAACCATTGTGGATTGCAGTCTGGAACCTTCTTATATAAATATTCTATTCTCAATACTCCCATGTTAAATAAAAGCTTTTTCTTTGTGCTGGGAAACCAGTACTTTCAGTGCAACTTTATCCATCTAAAAGTTCATGAAAGTCTGCATTAAAGACTGATTGTGTATAGAAAACTGTGGCACGCATGCTGGCCTTGTAACTTCAGGGACCTTTGAGCTATGGTTCTTCTTTGCTGTGCAACAGTAAACTTCATGACATGCTCCCTCTCGAATTGGTAGCAAATAGCATAAATCAAGTGCTGGTTGAGATTCCAAAGAAACATTCCCATGGATCATGCTACAAGAACTAAACCAAGTGCTAACTCACAAACCATGTTTATTTAAAATAGTTTTATCCATAAATCATGTTTTCTCAAAACAGATTTATCCAGCATCCATCGAGTTCTTGTTCTGCATATGGGAAAGGAAGAGAATGGGGTTTCCTGTCACGCTGCACCCGTGTATTCAGGGCATAGTTGCTTCCCACAACAAATATCTAGAATTATGCATCCACTGAAAGAGCGGAGTCAGCATCCGAGAGACCACTTCTCATTCTTATGCACGACACCGGGTGTAATGGAGGCATGAAACGGGAAGGTGCAATATGTCATGTTGCCTTCTAGATTCTGGGTTTACTATAGCTCAGAGAGTTTCAACAAGGCAACTAGTATTTCATTAAAGAAGAGCAGACATATAAATTTCATATGTTCACCATGTGACCTCTCCCCAATAATAGAATAGACAAAAGGGTCCTTGACAGTGCTCCATTTCCACACAAAAAATAAACAAGGGCTCTGTTACAGGCTTGCCATGCATTAGCACTTGGCCTCTGCAAATCCCTCCGTACTGGAACACGGGCAAATCTCACAAGGGAGTGACTATAAAAATGTGCAACTGTTTTAAAGTCATTCTTTTGTAAAAATAGAAGTGTTTTAATATTTAAATAAAACTGATCATTGGTGCCATTACAGGGAACAGATACTGTCTCAATCATACGTCCCAGATGAGTAAGGATTAAATCTTATTGATTAAACTTTGATGTCCAAAGGACAACTGTTATTTTTTTACTGTCCTATCCTAAAAGATTTATCCTTATGTTAGAGACAATGGCAGCGCAAAGGACATAAAAACTTTTCTGATAGCATACAACAAGACTCAATGCTCTCTCAAGGGTGCAGTAGCTCACAGGCGGAAGTGGAAATTCATTAATTTGTCTTCCCATTAAAAAAGGAAACCACACAACCATGCAGAGAGCGCCCTGGCATTTATAACCAAAAAGGGAGAAAAGATTACTTTCAAGAAGATCCTTCTTGAAATAACAGCTTATTTTATTATTTTATTCCATTCTTATTACATTCCTAACAAAACACAAGATGTCTGGAGGGCAGATGAATTAATGAAAACTAGTTTCCTATCGATTAGGGGACAATTGGGCAATGCAACTGCTCTCCTCCCCCCTGCCCAGACACAATAAATTCACCTTCCCCCCTCCTCTCCATGTCTCCTGTGATACCCATGTCCCCTTTTCATCCCCTAGCCCCCAGGAAAACGGGGCAGAGCTGCAGCTGCTCTGGAGCTGTGCCCATGCTGATCAGCCAGAGGGCTGCAGCCGAACAATGCACAGAGTGCCCAGGTCCTTCCCACCACCCCTCAGAGTGGGGTACTGTTTTGGGGTCTCTCCTCTGCCAGCCAGTGCTTTTCACGAAATGCACAGAAACTTAATTATCTTTGAGACTTATACTCCCTTTCAAATTTGGCTAAGATTGGCCAGCAAGTTGAAAACCTTATTACGTGTAGACAGACAGCGTGATCATACAAACTTCATTTCCTTAGGAAATCAGGCTAATAGAAGTAATAGTGAAAAATACAGCAGGTATATCGACAACACAGTGCGATGTTCAGTTTCTGCTAAGTGTGAAGCTGTTGTGACTGTAAAGAGTTCAAACAGGAAAAAAAAAAGCAGGAAAGAGAACAAATATTTCCTCTTCAGTGCCACTGCACAGATGGAGCAGGCTCAAAAATTACCTGCAGGTCTTAACTTTGGGAACCTTTTTAATTTCTTTTAGTTTTAGTATATAGTCTGACCTGCTTCAGTTAGCTCCCTTGTAATGTAAAACACCACACTGCAGACTACGTGACTTGTAAGCCCCACCTGGAGTTCAGTTCTTTTTGCTTAAAATCCCAAGGGAAGGGAAAAGAATCTTGGTATAATCAAAGACACTGAGGTTGCAGCCTCCAGCCTATCTTTTGAGAGATATTTGTCTTTCTTGCTCTTATTACCAATACTAATTTTTAATTCCTTTCCATGGTGACATATTCTTTCATAGTTTATTCTTTCCCTGCTTTGTTTAGTCTTCAAATCTTACATCACAACATAAAGGAAAAATGGATAATCTAGCATTACCCAACAGAAGGCAGGCTCCTTGGGAGCCATTAAGTAAACATCAGAATAGGAAATTTGTCACTTCTACACACAGGGTTTTATTGCATTTGTGTTGACGCATTCTTTGAATATATATTTTTTAAAAAAAGCATAGATTGGCTGCATACGTCATAGAGTCATCTGTTGTTAAAACTGTGCCTGGGCTGAGTCCACTCGTTTGGTGGTACGAACACTTGCCCTGTTGAAGAGGACATACGGCATCTGGCTAAAGGCAAAACCCTTCTCCCTCTATAGACAATGGCAAGGTTTTCAGTGGTGACAGCAGGTGCTCTGATGGAGATGCTCGAGTTTAGATATTGGGGATCTCAGCTGTGTCACACATTTTCTTTTGAGTTTATCAGGAAACAGTTTACAAATTGGGATAAAGGACACAAAGTGAAATAAAAATAATAATTTCTGCCCTTGCTGCCTTTGTTAAGCAGGCCCCATCCAGCAGACTTCACCTTTTGCCCCTTACTAGGTATCAGTCGGCTCTGTCCTACCTGAAGTCTCTAATTCTGCTATCTGCAGACATGCCATCCTTCAGGAGATGGTTCAGACCTGCCAGCCAGAGTGCTCTCTTACTCATACTTGATTACGAGCCTGGACATCTGTAGTTTGGCTTCCAACAACTCCTGGATTGCCTGGCACGTCATACAGGCCTTACCAGTAAAGCCTCTAACCAACTGGTTCTCCAAGCAGCTGCCTGCAGACCTTATGGGAGGTTGAGCTGGCAGGTCCAGCCTCCTCTCAGCAAGACCAAGAGAACTGCTATGCACAAAGGTGGCCTCAGTCCAAGGTTCCTGAGTCCTCTGCCATTGCCCAGGGCTTGCCCAAAGCCTGCAGTGATTAAGACACTCTGTTTCCACTTTCACTATATGGAAAACTCCAGCAGCAAGAATATCTGTTTCTTAATCATGCCTTGACTTCGTAGATGCTTGAACCCAAGTCTTCCTGGCGTTCATCTGCCAACATACACATCCTCACCAGACAGTCCAACTAATCCAATTCAAACTTTTCTGGTTTATCAATTAAACATCTTTCTCTACACTGGCACGTTCACTAAATTCTCTTAGACTCTCATCCTTTTGCTGCTCAGTCTTTGTAAATCTTCCATTTCTGTGCTAGGGTCCTCTCAGCAACAGAATTTCAACCTAATGGAAATTTCCATGATGGAAATACTACATATTTTTTTTTTTTTACACTGAAAAGTGCAATTCTAAATAACAGTCACATTAATGCCTCATTAGGACAGCTGAAAAAATTAATAGATGTTTAATAGTCTACAGTCAAGGTACGTTTTCTTCAAAGAATCCTTACAAATACTATGTATTTTAAATTGGATGCAGTTGAGTCTTCTTTGTCATAATTTTATATGGGTAAAAAGTGAACAGCTGTACCTTTCATGGGATTTTCCCCCTCCAATTTCAAGATCATATTAAAATGTTTACAACATTTCCAAATATCTTTCATTTAAAGACTTTCAAAAAATCCCTTACGATTTCACTATCCTTGTTCTGAACTTAAGGAAGTACCTTGGATGAGGTTCCTTGCAGTAAGTACCTTGCATGCAAAGCCACTGAGTTCTGCTGCAAGAGCAGCTGTTCCTCCCTCCTCCATTTGATCAGCTTGTATTTAAGACAGGATTTCTTCTTAAAAGCTATTGTAGACAGCCAGCCAGGACTGTAAGTTCTGTCAGGCAGGCTAAACGCACACAGACACATAATAGTACCTGGGGAAAAAGTCAACTTTTAAACAATCTCATTGCTTTCACGTTCTGTACCCAAAAACTTACCCAGGCGCCGTTACTGAGGTAGTCCAGACTCCCAGAATATCCAGGTTGGTAGATGCTATTAGGTTGCATTTTGTTCTGGAGTCGGTCCAGGAAAGCATTATTTACCCTTAAAATACAACAAAAAATGAATAATGATTGAAGGTAGCTGAGGAGTTCACAAACCTTTGAAATTTAACATTCTGTGAGTGGCTTTCCCTAGTCTCAGTTCAGTATTTTTTTTCCCCTATTAATGCTTAGGACTGACACACATGCTTAAACATGACTGTTGTTTTAATGTTTTACAATGCTATTGGTAAGAATGATGTAAAACGCAAGATACTGGATTATTTCTATCTAGGGACATGAGATGGACTGAATCGAAAATCCTTCATTACCTTCTATGAGTAATTATCTCAATATCCTTGCTAGAGAAAAAAAAGAAATGAAAACAGTATGGAGAGTGGTTGCCTACAGAAGTATTTTTTTTAATATTTCCCTAATAATATAAAAAAAGAAACAAATGGTGTTTTTATTTCTGAGCCTGAGCGTTGTTTCTTTTTACCAGCAGAAAACAAAGCTGAGAATAAAGCTGTGCTTCAAGATAATGGAAAGTCAGTTAAGTGACAGAAGTGCAAGATTAGAACCACTGAGCACAGAGAGGGCACAGCAGTGGGGCACAGAAGGCGTTGCTGCACTGCAGCTTCCATCTGTATCGATATCAAATCCCACATTTAGCTCTGCATGTTAACCTCAGTGACAGTCAACCACAAAATGTGGCAGGGACAAAGTAGCCCATTCTAAAATAAAGTAAAAATAGATAGATAGATAGATAGATAGATAGATAGATAGATAGATAAAATGTTTCCCAGCTGAAACTACTGTACTAGTAGTTACCCATGAAACTACTAATAGTTTCTACCCTGTGCTGTATCCTATGCTGACAGGATAGATAAAGTGAAAAAGGCACTCTTGAGTTACAGTGAGCAGTTGTAATGATGGATATTAGTGGCTCATTTGAAGGCAAAGCTAAACCAGAGGCGAGGTCAGGGATCCTCATTGCAATCGTCTTCCAAAGCATGAATGCCTGCAATTTTGAGACCCTTTCCAGATAGGAATTCAGTTAAAGTGTATTCTGCATTTTTGCATCATACCTCCTCTGTTCATTTTGATGTGCTCTTGTCCTGGCTTCCTCTTCCTGCTTTTGTTTAAATTCCATTAATTCAGCCTGGGGATGATAAACGTGAAAAAAAAAAAAAAATCAACAAACTTACTTTTAACTGACATACCTATGTTGCAAACCCAATTAATTCCACATGGTGTTAACTTCAGCTAGAGCCACGTGTCATTCCCAGAACTTCTCTCAACAGCATTTCATTTATGTGACAGCACTATGTTAAAAACTGAGCTCATTTTTCTGTTCAGCGTTGCACTGGATGAGCTTTGTTTGTGCCTTAAAAATTGGGAAGTTACAGGATTCAGACATTTACAGTCCTACATTTAAAGGGGTATGCCAGACACCAGTCTGCTTCCCCTTGCCCCAGCCCACGGGTTTGAGTTTCCCTGTGGGTCCAAGGGGGAAGACAGCTGAAGTCATCTAGCAGGAGCAGACACAGCCGTTGCACCCGTAGGGTACGAAGGAGACATGCCCTTCGCCTCCTGCCTCTGTGGAACGCGAGGAGAAGACGAAAACGGGGTTATGTGGCATGGTGTGTCACCTCCAGCTCCCTGGAGCTCCCTGCAAGGGTGAGGGGAAGGCAGCTGGTACCTGTTGGTGTGGTGAAAGCGTGTGCAAGCTCCCAGCATTGCAGCAGCCTACCATCCTTACGTTACGCAATATTAAGGTATATAAACAGCATCAAAGGGAATTCTTTTCAGAGGAGAGTTTGCTTACGCAATTTTAGCCGGGACTGTGAAGGAAACACAGCTTGTATGACTCTGCTCTGCATGTGTGCTTGTTTGTCTGGCTCTTGCTCCCTGCAATGCACCTAAGAATTGAAGATGCAGATTTTTCTGCAAAGAAAATGTGGCTTGCAGGGCAAGGGGGAAGAGATAGGAACAGAACCATCTTTCATATTTTCCATAGCAACTGAGCAGCAGTAGGAATAGGAACTAAAATAAAATGATGCAGTTAGATAAAAGCTTCAATAACTGAATGGAACCACAAAAGTTTAAAAAAAAAAATCAATTTAAGTGGAACATTAAATAAAAACTATGCAATAAATGTATGAAGAAAATCAATAACTGCAAATGTGTTCTGTATCAATATTTGTCTAGCCCTAAAAGAAGAAACAGGATTAAGAAATAAAAAAGCCAACCTTAATTTTCACTGTTTTAAATAACTATTCAACCTGAAAATTAAAACCCAGTATCTGACTTTCCAATATGCTGAGTCCTCCCTTAGAGTAATGTTCTGAAATATATTGTGTGTATATGATGCGGTGTTCAAAGCATACTGAAAATTTCTAAATAAAGCAATACATACTAAAACGTGTTCTGAAAAAAAAAAAAGGGAACTGACAATACCTATACGTTTTATAGCTACACTGTGCTAGGAGGTACACACAAGACAGAATTCACAATTACTTTAATAAATATTAGTTTGAAGTAGAAACAAGCCAACATATATCTGAGGGACAACTATTGGAGCCTTTAAAATACATATTATTTACAGTAGGATCGTAAGTAGTGCATTACTCTGCGCAATAGGTAGCAGCAACTGTGACGGCAAGGAGCACTTGGAACCATGTACCAAGCAAGAGCAGCCTTAGAAGCAGACAACATGTTCTTAGCAATCTGTGGAAATCGGTAAGGAGTCTAAAGCTCTACATGAGTCCCTTAAACCAAACTCATAAAGTAGGGGCATGCTGATTCACATCTATAGTTATTTTCTCTATGGAAGAATCAATGTAAAGAATACAACAGCTACCAGCCTTACACCCATCAGGACTGGCTTTCAAAATTTTTCCTCTGTACAGTTCCTGGGAATAAGCATACACCTGATGGGAAGGCAATTAAGAGCCTTCCTTTTTCTCCACCTTTTGTTTCCAGCATCCTGGTTGCTAGAATACTATGAAACGAGGACACTTATCCCCAACATTTAAAGAAAGATGTCCGTGAGAGGGGCTGAGTCACTTGTCCAGCTCTAGTAGAAACTCACTGCATGGAATTTTTTGCACTAAGATTCTGATACTGGGGAAGTAGTTTAACATTAATTTGGATGTTAGTAACAGCAGAGGCAGAGCAAGAGGCTCAGTATTTGCTAATATGTTTTCAAATGATTTCCTAATATGATTTTCAAATGGTGCCCTCCCCATGCTTGCACAGTCAGACCTGGAGCCAAGACAGATAACTTAGCACAGTGCCATCGCCTTGTGTAGATGAACTTTATGGTACCCAAATCTATGCCAGAGGGACTACAGTGGTTCAGATGCGCTTCAGGAATGCGTGCCACATACGCAGAAGATGGAGTTCAAACTTGCAGTTACAGCATGCCTGCTTTTTTGGACAATTCAAAACTCTTCATTTAGGTGGTTAGCAAGGGAACAGAGAAGCATACAGACTCAACAGCAAATCTGACTTCTTCCACATCCCCATTTGGGAAGGCAGGGCACACAGGCCTCGATTCTCTAGAAAGAGACTATTCAGAGTCTGAGATCATCATGAATATCTCAGTAAGATTACTTCTGCCTGAAAGAGAGGAAATTGGTTTCCTTAGCCTATGAAATCGGGTGCCGTGGTCAAAAAATGCTCTGCACAATTGTTCAAATGGAGAGGCGAACAGGAGTTTGTCATCTAGATGCAAATAGCCTTGAACCCAGAAGATAATTGTCCTGTCCCTGTCCAAATTTTACAGCTTGGCTCATGTCTCTCACAATATTTGAAAACAGTGACTGAACCACTTTTGCTAAAAAGAAGCTCTCTGCGTAGGCTACAAGTAATCAATGTATTTAATTGGTTTCACAGCATGCAAAAATGATACAATATGCAAACTGTTAATGTATAATTACCTTCCTCCGTTGTTCTTGCTTCATTTCCTCTAATCTTCTGTTTTCATCCTCTTGAAGAGCTTGCTTGTAAGTATGGCTTCTTGTCTATCGTTCAGCAGAGAATATAAACACATTGGTGTGGGGAGAGGGGCGGCCAAAATCCCAAACCTTATTCCCAAATCATTATACAGGTAATTAACAAAACAGAAGCGGTTGAATGATTCCAGTTACTTAAAAAACAGATTAGTCTCAAGACTAAAATTTAAACAAGAAATGGTCTAAAGCCTCTCAGTCATTCGGTTTGGCTGAATGTCCACCTGCACATCACACCCAGGCAACCACAGCACATGCTATTCCGTGTCCCAGTGGCAAGCATAAAGATACCCTGAGCAGTCAGAAAACACAATCAGGATATATGATAGTGAGGTGGGGTATTCTGGGAAGAAAGAAAAGTACTGAAAATATTACCAAGATAACAAAGCAGAACGGAGGCCTGGTAACAGAGGGGAACCCAGGATTATTTGTGGAAAGGCATTTGTGGAGGTAGGGCAACTGAAGCTGAGAGATCGTGTCTGCTATATTATTTGTGGGGCAGCCAAGAGAACTGAAAATCTGAACTACACATCATGAATAATGTATTCAGCTGCATAGTAGGTTTTCATTACAGTAACAAGCCCTGGTCTCTCACAAGTTGCAGTTGTTAGCAAAGAGCCAGCCTACCCTTAGGATCTTATAGGATCCTTAGGATCTTATACATAGGAACTTATACTGTAAAGTCTTTGAGCAGGGACATAGTGTAGCACACTAAATAATGAGCCAGTATAATTTAATACAAGAAGTGTGCAGGTTTGGCTTTAGTGAGGAGTTTGTTGCAGGTCTACACAATGTTCTCAAAACTTGATATATGCATGCAGAATGACACCATTAAAACAACAGGCACATAATCTGCTAAAAAGACTGAATAGAGAAAGCAATTATTAACAGCTCAATTTTGAGCTGGGAGGAGTTGTTACATGTGTCCAGTGAGACTCATTCTGGGTCCAATATTATTCATTACTCTCCGTAATGGCTTGGAGAATTGTGTGGAGTGTATGTTAATCGAGTTGGCAGACAATAAAAATCTACACAGGATTGGTAACACTTTGAAAGACAGGATTAAAATTAATTATGAGCTTGATTAAATAAGCGGGCAAAAAAAGTCACCAATGACAGAGTCACTCCAAAGAAGTTAAATTTGTTCATTCACACCAAGTAATCATTGACACTGATACTTGAACTAGGTGTGCTACATTAATATCACTATCAAAGAAATGATGTGAGGGAAAAAAATTGATCAACATTACATTGTCCTAAACTTTTTTTAGAACATGAATTTTAAATTTAAAAAATCACATATATATATATATGCCCCCCTTTTAGCACACATGTCAGGCGCTTCCTAAGCTTATCACACTTCACTTGTTCAAATACATTGTTCCTGAATCTTTTGATTACTCCAGACAAAGGACAGGTCCAAGATAACATCAAAATTAGAGTTCAAGTTTTCCCACTGGTTTAGCATTTTGGTACTATGCCAAGTTTATTTAGATAACAACTCATTGGTTATGTGCTTCAGAGTCCTCATACAGAGCACAGAGGCTGTGCATATGCCTATAGACCGTACCTCGTCCAAGTTGGTTGGGAAGACATTTTGCTAACTGCATTGCTGCATTATAAGCAAGGGATGAATTGATTCACAAAGCTATAGAAATGCTGCCATGCAAAAGACATGTATAATATCAGCTAGTATTAAAGAACAGTATAGATAAAATATGTATTTTATCTGCTTGGATACTAGTGAAGCCAAAGATGAACTATGGTATGTAATTTGGCATAACTTATTAAGAAACCCCTCAAAAACTGGAATGAGAAAGGCACACATAGGTAGGTGAAGTAGAAGGCAAAGGCTAAAAGTAGGACCTGTACACCTGAAAGAATTCAGTGTTCCTTCAGGCATCCACCCATTTCCGTATAGATATGAAGGCACCACACCAAAATGCTGAAATCCAAGTCAGTCCTGGGGACACGAGCTCACTTGTCTTTGCAGTTCAATGTTCACACCATATAAAAGGCTGCAGAGCTGGGTCTTCCCTACCAAAGAACACACTCCCCACTGTTTGGACTGTTGGATGCTTCAAGAGGGAGGTAGAAGTGGTTTCAAGACATCTTTTCTTCCTTCCCATAGTCCTTCATCTTGCTTGTTCGCCCAGGACTACAAAAGACAGTCTGAAAGCCACTGTCCTGCAATTGACCTTCTGCCCAGCATTGCTGGGCAGAAGTTGGCTCCTTCAAGCTATGTATCTGCCCACACATGCTAAGATTTCTTTAGGGTTTTCAGAGACACAAAATGACCTGAGGAATCAAAGGGGAAAGGAACCTATTTTCACTATCACCTTCCCTTTTCATGCAATGAAAACCTGGAAGAGATACTAGAGGCAAGACAGAGCTGTCATATATTCTGTTTGCAGCAATTTCTATAACGGGAGGGTCTTGCACATTTCCAAGGCTTCCAAGGAAATATGGAGGTAAATCCTTCCCTCCTTTTACTCAACTGTTGGTGTTCAAGGTTGTATACAACAGAGGGCTGCCCAGGTTGGATACTTCCAAGTTTCTGCTGACTAAGAACTATTGTTTGTAGCGACAATTTCTGTCCACTTGGCTGCCTGCTCTCTGTCTTCCCCCAGTTACAAACCTCCCTAAAGGAGAAATACTTCTGTCTCAGGGTTAATATTCCTCACTGCAAGTTTTTACATCAGTAGGAAAGCTTGGTTTAGACACGAAGAGACTAATCATATGTGAAAAAGCCTTTTTGAGGCAATTAGAATAATGAAACTTAAGCAATACTTTATCTATTTCCTAATTACATTGATACTTACCAGGCTCATTCAAACTGGGACAAAGTCCCCAAGCAATCTATGGAACCACTTTTAGGATGCAGTGAGAAATAAGCTTCCCTTCTGACTAGATTTTCAATGCAGTAAAGCATCCGTTGACATGAAGTAGTTGAGATTTCATAAAAGCTTGCCACCAACGGATGGGTACAGAGCACATTTAAAATTCTGATCTGCCCTTAGAATATAAATCTGGCTTTCATTTATCAGAGAGAGATCTGTGAGTAATAAGGCAGTCCCCTACTATGTAGGATACTCTGCCAGTGTGTAAGAGACAATGTAGGCAATCTTATTCACCCAGAAAGACGCCTTGGTACTCACTGAGTTATGTTTAGGCAATTAAGCTCAGTTAGAATATTGTAATATTACACTATTGACAGCACCTGGAAAGCTGACAGAAAATACAGCGCACGCCATGGTTTTGCTTACCCATGCTGTAGATTCTGGGCCACTATTAGCAATCTGACAGGAATCACTCTTTGGCAAACCCAAGTCCAATCTGTTCAATAATTCATTGGTTTTGCTGCGAAGAAATCCAATCCAAATAGAATTGTTAGTGCTTCCATAAAAATAAATACAGCTTTTTATTCCACCCTTGGAATCTAGCCTAGACATTTTCTATCACGTGACTGCTGAAAAACATCACAGGTGGAACAAAAGGTTACGAAGACAGACAGAATGAAATGGGACAGAGGATACAGAACCTATATTGTGGATAAGACATTTGCTGGGAGGAATTTTTAAGCAAACAATTATTGTCATTTGCATATTTGGGGTCTGCAGTGGCTATGCTTTCTTTCCTCATTGTAAAGCTCCTAAAACACAGACTCGCATAACATTGGACTTCATCAGGATGTAACTGCTTCACTGAATTGTTGCAAATCTTTCTACCAGATCTATAAATCTCAGCTAAGTAATTTAAAAGATTATTTTAAGGGTTTTTCCTTCATGGTTAATACAATACAACAGATTACTTAATCAAGCAGACAGACATTGAAGCATTTTGTAGCATTGAAAAAAAAAAGCTTGTCTTCAGTTGAAGCAGAATTACACACCATTGTCATTTCATATTCTGGCAAGGGCAATTTTATTTTTCTAACAGCATTTCTTATAAACCAGATTTTCAAAGTAACAGCGCTTTGCCTAGAGTTTCAACCAAGTACTGTTAAACAAAGTCACAAGCAACAACATAAAGAAGTGTTAAGAATAGGAGTTTCAGTGCTGTGATCAGGAATCAGCTTCCTAACCTGCAGGCCCAGGCATATCTATTCAAGTGGTGTGGTTTAACCCGGCCTGCGGCTAAACACCACACAGCCGTTCGCTCACTCCCCCCACAGTGGGATGGGGGAGAGAATCATGGAAAAAAAAAGAGTAAAATTCGTGGATTGAGATAAAGACAGTTTAATAGGACAGAAAAGGAAGGGAAAATAATCATAATAATTATAAAAGGATGGTTCGCTCACTCCCCCCACAGTGGGATGGGGGAGAGAATCATGGAAAAAAAAAGAGTAAAATTCGTGGATTGAGATAAAGACAGTTTAATAGGACAGAAAAGGAAGGGAAAATAATAATAATAATTATAAAAGGATATACAAAATAAGTGATAGTGATGCACAATGCAATTGCTCACCACCCACCCACCGATGCCCAGCCAGTTCCCGAGCAGCGGTCACCGTCCCCCTTTGGCCAGTTTGGGTCAGCTGTCCTGGCTGTGCCCCCTCCCAGCTTCTCGCTGGCAGGGCATGAGAAGCTGAAAAGTCCTTGACTAGTGTAAGCACTACTTAGCAACAACTAAAACATCGGTGTGTTATCAACATTATTCTCATCCTAAATCCAAAACACAGCACTGTACCAGCTACTAGGAAGAAAATTAACTCTATCCCAGCCGAAACCAGGACATCAAGAGTTTGCTCACTCAAAGGAATAGAGTTAGAGGAAAGAGGCAATTTTATTTCTGTATACAGCTTTGGAAAGCATGAAAGTACTGAAGTGAGAGCAGAAAGAGTGCTTCAAGAGGCATTGAACACAGAGATTTACACTGCTAACAGGGCAACCAGCTAGCTCTGTGGGGGAGAAGATGCCACTACCAAGGACAGCTACTTAACCTTGGAGAAAAAGCCTTGGCTGCCAAAGAGTGGTGACTAACTGCTGAAACAGACTACCAAGTGTGTTTTTATCTTTCACTCCATGGTCTGAAACGGTGAGTAGATGCATTTCTGGAAAATGTCCTGCTGGTCAGTGGGTATATTGAGGAGAAGTGGGGAAAAAGAACAAGAACCCACAAGTTCTTCTCTGCTACTCTACAGAATACAAAACTATGTTACCACTTCAGGTACAGAGTACTTGCTCAAGCTGTAGCAAGCCATGCTTTTAGAGTCTCAACATTCCCAGTTCACTCCCTTTCTTCCATTACCCGAGCAGTTAACATGGACCTCAGCCAACACACAATACAGAAAGAACGAGGTGAAACATAAGATTCCCTGATCTACAAAGCATCTGTATATCAAGGTTAAATAAATTAATAGTCTTCTTACCCAAGCATTAAGTACACACATTTTTTCCATGAAAGATGAGTGGTTGAGTGGTGAGATTGAGCAGAATAATTTTGGAAACCTGAAGTTTTAAATTGCAGATTTTGTGTTTCTCTACCTATGCTAAAATTACTAAAATAACAATTTATTTCTACACCAGAAAGACTAAGAACTCCTACAGAAAGCCTGGAATATATTTGAGAAGGTTGAAGCTCTGCAAAGAAATATCTGGCAACTTGGGGGTATAACTGGATGTCCTAATTCCTTATGGATGGCAAAAGAATGACATGGGGTATGTGGAAGTTCTCATTATTTGCATAAAAATGGGGCGGAGGGCTAAGACACTGCATTTCCCAGATCAGCACACTGATAGATGAAAAGCTAACTCAGTTTCGATATTAGAAAAGATGATTACAAGAGTGGAAGTAAATAAAGTTTCTCAGCAAGACTGTGCACTGCCTTTGAATATAGAAAACACCCTACTACACCAAATTAAGTAATATATTAATAAAGTGTCCCTATCACAAGAAAGGGACTCAGGTTTCCAAACCTGACTAAAGACAAACTCAGTCAAGTCAGTCATATATGTTTATTCATTGTGTATCATCTCTATGGAAACCCAGCAATGCATCTGGAGTTGCCAGACTGTCAAAATATTGTCTGAATGGTATTTTTCATAATATTAAACCTATAGTCACAACAATGCAGAGCATAGCATAAGCCATGCTGCAGGGAAAGGGGGAAGTCAGAGAGTTGACAGTTCAATTAATGTTCCAGAGAGGAACGCATTATCTCCAGAAGGAAATCAGCATATCAAAGTGTCCATAGGTGTTCCACATTCAGACAGTTGGAGCAACATCTCACTCTCTTGCTAAAACTTCAAGGGCTAATCAAAGATGCTGATAAAATGTGTTCCTCTAAACTAATTAATATTAAGGAAAGAAGAGAATGAGCTGAAGAAATTAATTTGAATACAGCAGCATCCTGATACCCTTCAAAAATAGCTAGGCAAAAGGAGATCCAAAATTTAGACAAACCAAGAAGATGGCACCCTCCTAACAGGCTGCTAACCTGAGTTCTGACTACCCCTAAGCATCGGGCTGAAGGGAAGAGAGCCGTTCAGAAGCACTGCTTAAGCTGGAGTGATCTTATGAGAGTATTTTGTCTTTCTCAGTAGCCCTGTTTCCCATTACACCGTTGGGAACAAGCCTTTTGCTCTGCTAATTAAAATAGGCTACCCCCGTACTGGTACGTTTAATAGCACGAGGCAATACTCTTAGCATGAGAACTCAGCCATCTATATTGTGGTAAAAGTTCCTGGAATAGTTTTGACCTGTTCCAAATAGCACTTTCCCAAATAACTCCTGGCTGCTGTCCCGGAATGAATATCAACCACAAGTAACTCCCAACAGGCACTTTGGATGCAACCGCCCCATTTTTGGAGGTAAAAAAGTTTGCTAACAATGGAAGCAGGCAGTCTCAGGCCTGTTGGCCTCAAAAGTGACAATGATTGACAGTGTTTAATTTATTAGTACAGATGCAGCCATGGGGGAGTGAAGCACAGTACTGGATTCGGGGGCTAAAAAACTCTTAAGAGCTGTCATGGGAAAATACTGACTCTGCTGCCAGGATCATTGAGTAACGTGCTAGCAGGAGACAGTGCATGACTTTGGAAATAAGCCCATGTTGCAGATGCTTTCTGTGGGTCCTCAGATACACGGCTTTGCATTTCACAACTATTCTTCAGGCAGGGTCCTTTCTTAAAAGCTGTTACAGAAAAGCATATACTTGAAGTTCAACAAGTATATGTAAAATGCAGAAACATGAATTTGCTAGGTGAACCACTGAGAACAGTGTAATTTAGGGATTTAGAGTTGGCACCATGCACTTACAAGCTACTTGCAGATCAGGGAATCCACACGTATTTCTTATTGTTTGGGACTAAATGAGTGTGCTGCCTACATTCCCACTGGGGTGAGACAAGGGGGTGGATATAAAAGCCGGAGTGAGCCTAGGTTCCTCTGGCCTAGGTAGGAGTTCCCATGATCTAACAGAGTCACCAGCCCTGAGAGCCGAGAAGCAGAAAGCTCCACAGTTGACTCCAGCATGCAACTGTGGAAGATCTGAAGACCCACAACTGATCTCGTTGCAGGACCTGAGGTCTAAAATCCTGTGCAGAATAAGGTCTTTAACTTTGTGTGTCATTTGGTCTTAACTCCTGTACATCTACAAGGCAAACAGAAGAACCAGTCCTGAAAAGGATCCATCCTTGGGGACATGAATAAGGATATGGACTCAGGCCCCAGCACCTTCCTCCACCCAAGAGTCGCACAGCACCGCTTGCTAAGCTTTTCATTGGAGACTATTCCTCTCAGAACAAAGATGTAAAGAAAACAATTCTTCTGCCTACCCATAAAGTTCTTGGCTTTAAGTCTGTTTTACAGACTAACATTAAAAATGCATCAATTAGAAAGGCTTCTTGTAATCTTCATTACTCCTTCCCAATGAAACCAGTGGCAGTTAATTCTTTTGCTTTAATTGATGGACACTGCAATGCCAAGATACAGAAAAATATACTAGCTTTTATGCCAGTGCTTTTGAAAAAAAAGCAGCACAATACTTTTGCATATATCATAAATCTATTTATTTCTCTTGACAATTTTTAAAAGATAATGGCCACTCTTATTACTACTGAAAACAAGACAGCTCCTGAACTCCTTGTTTTCTCAAGCTGCAGGATCTCCAGCATTACAATTCTGCCCTAATGAACGTCCATAAGTATGCTAAGAGTCATTCAAAAACAGTAATAAAAAATAAAAATAAAGACTCCCAAGCCAGGTAAATCATTATAGCCATTTCAGAGAGGAGACAACATGCGTAGTCGCTAAGACAACAGAAGTAGCATCTAGTGCTGAATGACATGGACACATCAGCTTCCAAATTCATTGCCAGTAAGCAATGCTGAAGTGATATTTCACCATTTTCTTCCAGT